TTTCATTTAAATCTACATTTCGATCTCATAAGTCTACTCTAGTCCTTTCCGTTTCGCCAGTGAACAGTCCTCAAGATTGCGTTTCATCAGCTTTAAGTCTGGAATTCAGTATTTATATTAGAGAATACAAGTTTAAGCCCTTAAGAAACCGAGAGACTCTCGGTCTGTTTTGAAGGCGAAGACTGCGTTTCTATTGGTCGCATCACTTGGTTCGCGTTTTAGCTGTGACTGAGATTTATTGCACTGTCTGTCACGCGGTCTTTGATTTATGTACTACGTGCTCCAGTAAGCCCTGGTTGAGCATCAGGTAACAAAGTTTCCAGGTATGTTAATTATTTTATGTAGTTTTGGAAGTATTCCTCACTCTGAGAATGTTTGAGAGCGTTTCTAGTAATATTTGGAACTAAGTATTGCATTAAGTAATGTCTGAAAGAATATACAAAGAAGCATAATATGGTTATAATATGAGAGTTGATGTTTCATGTCCTTGAAACGTCGGCTGTGGTCCCCTGGGTTATGACACCGTGCAATTTTATAAAACTAGTGTTTGCCATAGTTTTGTAGACGATACTCATCTAATTTTTGGATTGATAATGAATATTAATGGCAGTATACGTGTTTACAACCCAGTCTGTGATCATTCCAAAACAAAAGAAAATTCCTTTCAATGTATTTCTTAATCCCTTGTTTTACGTTGTTGTTGTTTGCGGATGGTAGGTAATCGGATTAAGCTTAAAATTATAATTTAAAATGATGGTACAGACTTCTTCATCAAATCTGATTACACATAATTCACTCGTTAAGGCATGGACTTGAGGATTCACGTAATCTGTTGGACCTAATGAAAACTGTTGGCCATTTTCCTTGCCCATTCTAATTGAGTACATTGCTAACTAAATTTTATTAAATCTTTAATTGTATGTATTTTATAATAAATAAGAGTTTAATAAAGTTTAATGCCTTTTTTGATGTTGCCGATTGTTAATATTGATTGTGTTAGCAACAAATTGATTTGGTTTCCTTTGTTGAATCATTACAGACTGGGGAGAAAGTATTGTTTAAATTGGAATACATAATGCATATTAATATACTTATTGTTAATTTAAATAAGAGTGTACACCTATGTGGTCTAATACGTAGAGTAATTATATTATTAGTCAGTCATCATTTGATAAGCGGTCTAAACATAACAATGCCTGTGTTTATTAACATTTTATTGACAGTGGAAACTTCGCTTTGAAGTATTGTCTAAAATTTTACATATCGGATTTGAAAATGCTTCTGCAAGAAATTAGCACATAGATGGTATCAAATAAAATCCCTTATTAGGCTGTTTTTTAAGAAATTATTTTAAATGCCTAGATTTACTCCAGCAAGAGAGTGTCAGTGGCGTTTTCTTATAAACATATGTCTTTTGTAAGCGTTGTTATTATTATTGTGCAATGTTGTTATGTAAGAAAACATGTGACTCAGGTCTGACAAACATAATATTATATTATATTTTAATTTAACACGGAATAGCCAAGTAACGTGTTCGATATTAGTGATTTTTTTTTAGTTCCTGTATTATAAACAGTTATCTAATGCTTTATCAGTTTACTATTTCCTAACATGAGGACATTATTTATCTAGCCAGATAAATTGGAAGATGAGATTTGGATTGAAGTAGCTCAGGATCGCATCCAATGCGGAATTTGCCATTTGATTTCTGCTACTATATTGCTAATTTTAAATTATGCATTGCCATGAAAATGAGGTAATGAAAGATATGTTCTATAATAAAACAAATTACACTTCATAAATTACTTCTCTGTGTTAACTGTATTTGCAGGCGTTCCGTCACTCAAAGTACATTCGTTGCTGTTATTTTCTGATGTCCATTACATGAAAGTTATTTTAAAATATCCAGCATCAGGTGTCGGAGTGAGTTCTTGGAACATGTTTTATTTATTTTTAGCAATGCAGTGTGTATTTTACGTACCAGAAAGACCCCAGTCATGAATTTCGTGTCTTCAGGCTGAAACTGAGGAGTGCCACATAAGGGACTTCAGAAAGAGAAAAGTAAATCGCAGTTGGGTTCAGATGCAGGAAGGCGGGGATTTAAGTTCCATCTGCTGTAAGAAACAAGAACAACTGAATTAAAGTCGGGATATAAACGGTACGTTTTATTACTGAAGAGCCTCGCGTGATCCTGGGGAAATGCGTTCCTGCTACGCATTGGATGTGACGGCGGATGATTCACAAGTCTGTGCTGGTCGAACAGCAGTTCCTGACCGTATAGACAGAGTTAGTTTGCGAAATGTCAAATTTATGTTCCATATTGACGTGGCTAATCGCCCGAGAAGAATCGATTACCTTTAGTCGCCATCCCAAACAGATGTTCGCACGTGTATGAACTTCGTAAGAATAAAGTAAAGTAAAGCTGTCCCTCTATACGCCATGTAGGCGCTTAGCGGGAGTGGAGGTATAGCTCCTACTCTTCCTTGACCTCGGCACTAGATGGAGGTGAGTGGTCAGCATCACGCCCCGGCCGGATTTACCCCCGGGAAAGGACCTCGGTACCCATTGTAGAGGAGGCTGGGTGGGCCCCAGAACCGGTCTGGACGCAGAGGCTAGAGGAAAAAAATCCTCTGCCCCCGTCGGGGATCGAACCCCGGTCGTCCAGTCCGTAGCCAGTCACTATACCGACTGAGCTAAGCCGGCTCATACTTCGTAAGAATAACGATAAATAAATGCAATCTAGCTCCATCCATTACAATATATTTGCCTTGTTGATATACTGAACCGAATAAATATGGAAAACCGTCTTATTATCTGTCCAATTGCATGAATTCTCAGAGAAGTAGCGTTCTGTGAGACGAGATTCAGAAGTCAATAGCGTTTTTGTTACGATGTGTATCAGATACGGTAGGTGTGATTTGTGAAATGGGAAAAAGGCGCTTGCTTCTTCTTTGTGAATCTGGAATCCATAGTCTTGTGTAGTAAAGAGCCGTTTCAAGATCTTGAAAAATCTTGTTGACATTAAACATTTCATCGTGATCCACAGTGGCGTTGCGCGCGCTACCACTATCGGGAATTTTCTTTGGGCATTTGCTGCTTCTGTTACAGCCTGCAAAATACTGTGGATGTCCAATAGGAAGCCAGCATTTGTCACTAACAGTTATCCTGTCCGTGATTTTCTTCAGGCTTACTGGATCCTATCTTAAAACAAGTTATGGCCACTTCTTATAGATTCTTACATACCGACAAATAATTTTTCATCTTCCAATCTCATCCGGCCCTGTACGAGAACAGTGTCGTTTAATAAGAAAGAATAACCACGACAATCAAATGTCGCTGTTGAGTAATTGTCACTCCTGGTTCGTATTTCGTCCAGAGACTGGTACGAGGTGCGATCGGAAAGTTTTCAGACTGCGCGTATAAAAACCCGTACACTTATCTCAGGTATTAAATTCATCCATCACCCTCGAAGTAGTTCCCCTGGGAGTGAACACAACGATCCCAGCGCCGCTGCCAAGCCTGGAAGCATCCCTGGAAATCGTTCTTTGTCAGCCTGTCAAGCACCATCTGCGATTCTGCCTGAATCTCTTCTATCGTCTCAAATCTCCTTCCCTTTAGCTGAATTTTCATCTTTGGGAAGAGGAAGAAGTCACACGGAGCTAAGGATTGTATTCAGTCGTCCAGGCAAGTGCTGGAACATTTCCTTAAAATTGGCCACGACTATTTCCTTCCGCATACTTTACAATTTATTACTCACTAAGATTCTAACTTTTGACGCTTTGTGTAACCTATGTTACTTCAAAAATATTGGCATCAGAGAAAATATAACGGATCAGCCAATCCATATGAAGTACAGCTGATCCTTATTCCTTAATACGTATTTGAACTATAAATGACACAATGGAGTAGAGTCGTTCTTGAAAATCTGAGTTGTTGAAGAATTTCCTCGTCTTTGTTGTTGCCTGAAATTATAAGAACCTACCGCTGGACCCTATACTGAGCCAGTTAAGTCCAGTCCACTCTCTCTCCCTCCCTGGTACCTTAAAATACATTTCCGTATTCTAGCATGTATTTTGTTTTGCTTCAGGTTTTCTTATCAAAGGCCTCTGTGTAATTTCTCTGAAAGCAATTGTAAGAATCATCTTTATCTTCATTTCGTGAAGTATTGGCGGGGAATGGATTGTGGTATTATTGTGCTCTTTTTTCTTCAGGAATGAATTTTAAATTTTGTTCTGT